AAAAAAAAAAGAAGAAAAAATCTGAGAAAAGCTATTAATGGTTGAGCAACGAATTGCACCGTGTTGTAAGCCAACAGAGCCAAAGTATGGACAAATATAGCATAGTCTGTCTTTATGGTTCTATGGACGACACAATGTCGAAGAGCAAATATAGCCAGGCTAAACAAAGATGAAGACAGAGAATGAATCGCGAAATCGAATCTTCCTATATCTCTTCTCTGCCTCTGCATGGTCGATACCACTTGACCCACTCTCTTCAAAATCTGAAAACTGTACCTTCGCCTTTTGCATACGTTATACACCCACTCCATCCCTTATATACATCCCCGAAAACCCGATTTTATCGTGGATTGTGGAATACTTGCAACATGGATTGTTAAAAAGTATATAGAAACCTCCATTGTTCGAATTGTTTCGTTTTAGATTATTTCGAAATAATATTTCTGACTGAGTTTTCCTGTTATTAACAATGGTGGAAATAAAATTTAATTTAGAAGCTCTGAATAATAATTCTAATATTACGAACGTTTTGTTTTGTTAAACGAGAATTTTGTAATATCGCGAATAAATTGCTTAACAAAATGGAGACGGATCTTTAATGTAATGTCTATTATTCGAATGTCTGAAAATTGTGTTTTTATTGTTTCATTATACCGCCATTTCTATTCGCGACAAAATGTAAGCAAATTTTCTTTATTGTGTAAATGGAAATAGAATTTAATTTGAAATTGAATGGTTAGGATTATATAGTATGTGCACAATACACGCAAAAAAACGTTTAATTATTGAAATCGTGCTTCTTTTTTCGAAATTTTGAAGTATCCGTTCCAAGCATTAGAAGAGAGAACATCGATGGTTCGAAATTCAAATGGATTCTATTTCAAATTTTATTCAATTTTATATTCAATGTTATTTTTATTTGTTGAACCAGAATATTCTTTTTAATAGTCGAAACCTGAATTCGTTAATAAAATATAATCCTATCCAATTTTTTTAACCTATTACTACTTATAAATCCAGGAAAAAGATTCAAGATGCTTGCTCATTATCCCTAACACTCTAAAATAAAAATCAACGATAAATTATAATTAATAATTAAAAGTTTTGTTTTCGTCCAATCATATTTCTATATAATTTTTCAAAATATATACTTATTCATCAAACATAATGAAAACAAATTTTCCAAATCGTACACAATACACAATTTATGCAACACTTCAATTGATTAATTTAAAAAAAACTTTAACCTTTATTCAACATCCCATTCTTTCACATTATACTTTTTGCTCTACATATTAATTTATTACTATTTAATTACTAATACATATTCGATCACCATATATTTTCTTATATTTCCATCTTTTTAAAAAAAAAAGAAAAACTCGTTAATAAAATTTCTTATATCGTTTCCCTTAATATCGTTTCCCTAATTAAAAAAAAAAAACATAAAAAAACGTGGCCCTTTTTAGGGAGGAGGAGGGTTGAAGCGAGGTCACCTCCTCTGTCAAGTGTCACATCAAAAAGTCAAGCAGCCCGCGTCACAGGAACTTGGGGAATTGAAAATTGCCACGTGTCAGGTGAAGCACCGGACGACAACAACAAGGCACGTGCACCCCGAAACTGGATACGCTGGAACCGGGTGATTCGAGGGGTGATTCGAGAGTTCATGGCTCTTGGGCCATGCACGATGCCCATACGTAGAAAGGGGTGTTCTGTTTCAAGATACGAATCGTAACCCCATGCTAGCGTACTTATCGTACGCTTGTAAGTTAGGAAGCGTTGTTAATAAATTTCCTTCGTTACGGATCGTTGTGTTTATAGTTGGAATTGTTGAAGGAAAAGGAATAATAGAGATAATAGGATTCGATTTGTTACGTAACAAGAGATGTATGCAAGAGATAAGATTTTTAAGAATTGAATAAAGTGAGTATTGAATAAAATTGCTTGTGAAAAGTATTTGAACAATTTTTATTACTTTTAATTTTTGTCGAAATTATTATTTAAAGAGGTGAAGCTGATTTATTATATGATCTATTGTCAAAAAATAATTTCTAGATGAAATTGTATACGAAATAAATTGCTTTATCTATTATTATTCTATATGTGTACAAAGTTTTAGATAAAATTAGAATTTTTAGGTTAGGTTGAATTTCTCTGTAAAATAATCTTCTAATGCTTTCGTGATATATTGTAAGTTGTTATAATAATATTTTGTTTTATGTAAGATAGAAGGTTTTGATTTGCAAATAATAGCGATATTTTTTACCAATGATTGAAGTTAAAAATGATAATGGATAATGATCGCTTTTAATTAATAAATTTAGTTACTTTTATCTTTAAATAAATTGTACAAAAAGTATATGTTTACGATTTATTTGAAATTAATCGATATCGAAGATTTTTTGAAATTTTGCATTCAACGCGCTGTAAACAATTAGAAATGGAATGAGGCAGAAAAATTATTTTTCTGCGTTGATTTTCTGTAGTTTCGATTGGTGGACATTCTGGCATTAATTTTTCGAGAGATGACTTTGAAGATCACCTGGTGGCTGTAATGACACTTGAGAGTCAACGAAAGTGGCAATTAGGCAAATGCAATGAAAAGCAAAGATCAATTTCATTTTGAAATTGTAGAACCAAAAAAAAGATAGGAAGGATACAAAAATTTAAATTAAATTTAGAGTAAATAAATTTAATATTATTAAATTCTGTATGATTGATTATATTTTTAATGAATTTATTGATACTTTATTAATTTTTAGTAATTTTTTATATTATATAATTATCAGATTTATAATTATGACTATAAAAAAAATTTTATATTAATTAAATTCATAAACATACTTTAATGATAATATAATTCTTACATTTTTTTTCTAAATAATAAATTAATATTTTAATAAATTCAAAATAATTCATGAGAAAATATTTATTTTAAAATGAAATGTTATAAATAGACATATATATTTTAAAAATATTTTCCAAATTTATTAAAAATTTATAAAACTGTTATACTATCTAAATAATTTTTAATTTATCAAATGAAATCTAATTTTTTAAATTTCATCCCTAATTATAGGAGACTGTGCACGACCTAAATGATTATAAAACCATAAATCATTAAAAGTACCAAAAGATTACGCAGAATTGGTTATGGGAATTTCTGTACAAAAATGGCAACAGGAAAAACATGAGAAAAGAGGTTAAGATATATCTACTTTCAATTAGAAATAATTATAATAATTACAACCATGTGTAATTTAAGCAAGCGTCAGTATTATCATGAGTAAAAATTTTTCACATAAAATTTTCTACCAAATACATATTTAAATCCCAATGATTTTAACTCATCCTTAATTAAAGATATAATTACTCGAATTTTTACACCATGAATTCATCAATCTCTCAAAATATATATATAATTATTTCGTGTAATTTCAATAGTGTAATTAATAAATATCATAATTCAAATATTTAATTAATTATATTTAATAACATTATACTTAATAACATTCTGTTCTTTGTTCAACAATAAGATAAAAAGAAAATAAAATATTTCCATAATTATTTCCTATATATCGCAAAAATAAAACGATTTCACTGCCATCTATCATATTACAAAACGTTTTTTTATCATTGATCGAATTAATTGACATTAAATTTTAAAAAATTGGATTAATGTCATTCTATACAAAAATATCGAATGAGGTTAGGTTATAAGCATAATTTAATTTTAGATAAAGGTTAGATAAAACGAGATAAAGATATTGTATTGACAGAGACAGAGCGATATTAATCCAGGATTAGAAGAACATTATTAGATCGAAAGCTCGAAAAGGGAAGCTTCACGTGTAATTCTGAATGATCGATGGCCGTTAAAGTTCTCGAAAAGATGTTCGATTAGCGCTCGACACGATTTTTCTAAAGCAATATTTCTTCGAGGCAAAGGTTGCCTACGTTTGCTACGTTCAACAAGGGAAGAACAAGATGTTCTCCAAGTAGGAAGTAGTTGTCGATGGGCAAAGTGGGTCACGAGCTCTGACCTCCGCGTCTTTTTACACAACCTCTAGGACCCCGCTTCTCCACTTAATTACCTCCACGTCCTCCATGCGAGGCGAATTTTAACACGTAAAACATAATTTACCGTGACGAGAAAAAATATTTCGGATAATGGGAGGATTTGTCGTTGGGAGAAAAATTGTGCAATATCGTATTTCGATTCCATAATAATTATAAAATAACTTTTCAAAAATCCTGATTTCACTCAACTTCAGTATTGTGAAAGATTTGAACAGAGATTTGCTATTATAGAAGATTGAAAAGAATCATAAAAAATTGAACTTTTCCTATAATATTTAACGAAGATGGATATTCCTCTTATGATATGGAAGAAAAATGATTATTCGATTTATGAAGTATAAGAGAAGATTTGGAATTTTTATCTTCTAATAGTACATTTATTTTATGAAATCAATTGGATAGATTGGACTAGATTCGTTATATGGGAACAAAACTTCTTCTCAAATTTTTTTCAAATATTTTGTGCTACAAATTAATTTGAAAAAGAAAAAATTAAATATATATCATTCTAAATATATTATAAAACCGATAAATATAATATATATTTATATATTTTATATCAAACATTAAGATATATTGTAATCTCGAAAGATAAATGATGAAAGTATTTATATTCTACATCCTCGTCTGTAGTCATGCATGGAGTAAGTATAGACAAGGAGAACAAATGATAAGAAAAGGATAGAGATATGATAAAAATTAGGAAATCAGCGCCATCTCTAGAGTGTCGTAAATGAAACACATAAAGAAAGGACAGAAAATAATTAGAAAAAGATAAAGATAGGATTAGAATTCTGTATTAATGCCATCTATTGAGTATTAAAAGTATTTTTAAGGGAGGATAAAAAAGTAAGAGTTTACTATCAACGCCATCTCTTAAACGTCAACAAATATATCTTTAAGAAAGAATAAGGTAGAACAAGAATTTACTACCAGCGCCATCTCTTGAAAATTATCAAAAATATTTTTAATAGATGTATTACATAACAGATGGAGCTATTAGTAAATTCTTATTCTATCTTATCCTCCTTTAAAGAGATATTTGAAGAAATAATTTGATCATTTAAGAGATGGCGTTGATTTTTATTTTTTTCTCGCTATTTGATTTCCTTGTTTATACTTGTTTTAGAAAATTATATACTTGTTCTTAATTTCATTTAATTTTAATGATTTTTTGTCTAATTTATTGATAAAATATTTTAACAAAATTTATTCAATTAAATTTTTATACAGTATAAATATTTTTATCTTTTTCTATATAATAATAATAAATATTGTCATTGTAATAATTTTTAATTAATCTTTAAAACAGTATAAGTAATCAAAATATATAACATCTTTTTAACATATAATATCTTTATTTTAATAATAATTTTTTACTTATTTTTCAAATTTAAATAAAAAAAAATATGTGATCTATTAAATATATTTATGATGATATATATAATATTTAAAATAAATAATATTTAACATTATAATATTATATATAATAACATAAATAATATTTAACTATTAAAGTAAATAATATTTAACAATCACAGTTTATTATTAGATGATTAAAAAAGAAATTAAACGTAACTAAAAAAGAATTCAAAGTTGTTTTTTTTTTATTTGTCGGATAATCCATAAAAGATCTTTTATCTATAAATAAATGTAAAAAAAACAAAGTAATCAAAGTACATGTTAACGTTAAAATTGGTTAAAATAAACTCAACAAACGGATTTGTAACTCAGGTAGAAGTTTAGTAATGCTAAATCAAATATCCAAAGTCCAAGGGATCGGATATTTAATCCCTCACTTTAAGAAAGAAAGTTTCTATTGTCCCTTCGTAGCATTACCGACAGGTATAGCTTAAAGAAAAAATAATGTTCAAAATTTTTAAGCTACTCTTCTAAATTCGCTTCAAATTATAACTATATATATTAAAGATATTTAAAAAAATTTTGTAAAATATTTCAAATAGATAAATTTGGAACATTCTTACTTCATAGAAACATTTTGAAATAAAAACAATAATTAAATCGAATAATTTTTAATGTAGTTACAAATAAATATATTAATAATGTATTTATAAAAATAAGAAAAATCAATTGTATTTAGATTTTTAAAAAATAATATAAAAATGACAAAAATATATGACATATAATTTAATAATATGATATTAACTATAAATTTAATAATTAATAATAATATTTCATTATACTATATACATATATATATATATAAGAATTGACAACAATCTGATTTATTCACGTAAAATATTTTACATGTATAATATAATACAACAACACAATTTTTATTTTATAATAAAACTTATATGTATAAATATATATATAAACACAATAACTTAGAAGGGCATATATCTTCTGTTCTCTTTCATTAAAGATAAAGCACGCAAAAATGCTCGATAATCGATTTCTAAACGACCACCTCTTGGTATAGAAAAACATTTGTGCATAGCATCCAGTTCTCTAATAGTGATTAATTCTAGCATACCTCTAATAGACAAAGCTTTCATCAAACTTTCTTTTGAGACTGTACCAATATTTTCTTTATCGAAATTCTGTAATTTAAGAAAAATTATATATATGTGCGTATAAAGATATATAATTTCAAATAAAAATTATTTTAAAAAATTATATCCATTCATATTTAAGCATTTGATAAATATTATGAAATATTAATTATCTGATATTTAATTCATTTTTAAATATATAATCTAAAGATTTTAAATAGTTGTATAGTTGTATAGTATTTGTATAATTGCAAACCTTGAACAATTCTTCGAGGTTTGGTTGGTGTAATCTGCTTAATTTGTCTATTGCCACCGTTGCCATGTGTCTTTCCTCGAAATTTAAGAATGTTTTAGGGGAAGCTTCTGAAGGCACGTGTTGCACAGGCACTAAAAGTGGAGCCCTTTCTAAACTTCCCGTGGTAACAGCTTCTTCAACCGTTTCCCCAAATTTGACATAGTCTATATAATCTGGCCTGCAAAAAAAAAAAAAAATAATATATTGAAAATTGTTAAACGATATTTTAATCTCGTTTGATCAAATATTATAAACACCTGAAAAATTAAATCGATTTTATTAGAAACTATAATTGGAATCTTGAAAACATAGAGGTTAAAATATTTATAATCATTGATTATACAAAATATATTATCTTAAGATAATTTGATTATTTATTTAAAATATATATATATTATATATTTTTTTACCTTAAAGGTGATTGAAAAATGTCCATAATAGTTCCCATTTCTGTGCAAGACAAATTACAACGTAGTTGATCCAGCCCTCGCAGAAACTCTGTTCTTTTTATAACATGTTCGTTATGTACGTCATATTGACGCATAAATTCGATAACCTTCCCATGAAAGTAAAAATATTGAATATAAAAGAAGAATATAAATATATTCACATTTTATGCTTTACCTTTATCCTTTCGCGCACAACTTTCGCTTTAATTTTGGCTAAAATTAAAAGGATATTTGTTTCATCATCTGTGAGTACCAATGGCGGTTTTTCAGCATTTATCAATCTTTTTTCTTTTAACATAGAGTGATACAAAGGTTCCTCAATTGGCAAAGCTTCTAATTCTTTTAAAAACCAATTATAATTGAAGCCTAAATCATTATTATATCTCTGCTCTAATGCAAATTGTTCTTCTTCAGAAAGTAATATAGCAGCAGTCGTTAAAACTTGGCGTAATTGTGAACGCGACACGTGACCTTTATTATGCCTAAAAATTAATTAAAAATATAAAAATACAAAAACATAAAAAACCTATTTTTTTAATGTGCATATATATGTTATGAAATGAAAATTAAGCATACCGATCGTAATCCTTGAAAAATTGTTTTATCAAAATTCGTCTTTCATTGACACGATACCGAATTTTCAATAATGTTTCCTCGCAAAGATCTCTTTTGCTTTTTTCTTGGCATTGCCAATCTGAAGTTCCTTTCCGATTTAACTCCTCTATTTCTTTTGGCGGTGATTCAACCTTCAAATTCGGTAATTTTTCAAGTTCCTTCACGGTAAACACTGCAAATGAAATAAGGACGGAAAATAAAAAAAATAAATCAATCGCATAGTGTATAAAAAAAATACCTTTATCAATGTCATCTTCAAATGTACGCCAACATACACGATCTGGATCATTCGGATCTTTGTAAAGCGCAATAAGCGCGTTAATTTCCGTTTCCGCAAGATAAAGACGCCCCAAACTTGAAACCTGAAGACCATCCAATCCTCTCCTGAAGTTAGAAACTGTCGTTTTAC